GACAAGATCGTATCAAACCCTGTCCTATCCACTGGATAAATTCCTTTCTTCATTTCAAACAAACTTTATTTCCATCATATATATATATATATATACATACGTATAACGTTTCTTTTGTTTTTTTTCCTCCAATAAATCGATTTATGGTGTGTAAAAGCGAAACATTAACGCCGATTCTCCAAGCAGCTTCCTCTTTTCAATGCGTATCGAAACCCATTAAACGGCGTGTCGAGGTGAAACGCACGGATGCGTTTCCAACGAAATGTGCATGTACATTCTTCTATGTTATATATATGCATGTGCGCATGTTTATATATGTGTATGTGTATGTGCATGTGAGTATTTGGTACGTTTGAGTATATTAGAGAATGGGAGGAATAAAGAGAAATAAAGGATATAGAATTAAAAAAAAGAAAAAAAAAAGGAGAAAACAATAGCCGTATTTTAAAACATGCGATTCGGAGTAGAACGATTGTTAAAGCTGTGATTGGACAAAACTACCCTCCTCTTGATATCACCAGAAACAACGATGATGATGATGATGATGGTGACTATAGACTACTACTACTACTATTACAAAGCAAAAGGCACAAGAGAATTGCGCATTGTAAATGTTCGACGGTACTCGACGCATACTACTATGCGCGTAGAGCATTGACATTGTACCGGAAACAAGTGTATTTCGTATTTATAAAAAGAAAGTAGAAAAGTTCCTTTAAAAGTATAATTATAATTTATTCCAATTAAATTTAAATATAATTTAAATATAATTTAAATATAATTATATATATATATGTATATATAACGTAAATATAATTTTTTGTTAAATTTATATGTTAAACAAAACAAAACCAAACAAAACAAAACAAATTAGTTCATGAAAAAAATATAAAAATAATTTTACTAAAAATAATAAACAGAAAAAAAATATATAAAAACAAAGTAGGGGATATCGACATACGGGTATGTGCGCATACGTAGATATACTACATACGAGCGAACACATACACACACACACATATATATATATCGTATAAAAGTGGAGGAGGTGATCATTCGAAAAAAAAAAAACGGAAAAATGTTGGGAAATTAGGGGAAAAAGTGTAAAGGTCAATAGCCAATTGGACCGATGAGAAATAGAAAAGGGAGCTGTAAATTCTCCAGTTAGAAATACGAGTATAAAAAATATATATTAAAGGAGAAAACTCACCGGTGCTACGCGTCGCGCTAGCTCCGACAACTGCGCAGTTCACGGGTTAAGAGGCTGCTTGCCTTTCAGGGACGTCTAAGGCCGATACCGGCGCCCGTGACCGCCGATATGAACAATCGACACTACTGCCACCTACACGATTTTTCTTAAAAGCTCACGACATTGGTACATTCGATCGAATTGCGAATCGCTTTCAATTCAAAAACTTAACCTAACAAAATATGTATTTAACGATTTGCTTCTACGATTTGTTTTTATTAAAATTACAAGGATGCTTTCGAACGAAAATAAAAAAGAAAGATAACAAAAAAAAAAGGAAAGGAAAATATAAAAGAAATGAAAGAAAGGAGACGAAAAACGACACAACTTTGAATGCTATTTATAACGCTTATCTTCGTGCGATGAAGTAGAATAAACTTTGTAATGACGTATTAAAGCACACGCACGCGCACACATATCATCATGCTAATGCCATAAGCGACTACGTAAATCTTTTTTATCCATCGACTTTTAAATGCAACGTGGAATTAGTTTCCACGTCCTTGCATTTATTGCTAAGAGAGTTTAGATAGAATTCGATCTTACGAGTGACTATCATCTCTGGAGACTAACAGAGAATTCTTTCCAAACAATAAACGTTGCACTGTATTCTCGTCTAAGTATCTAGAAGACGATGAAAAAGAAAAACAAAAAGAAAAAATAATAAGCGCCGAAACCTATCAAAGTTCAAATCAAAGTTTTACAAACTTTAGAATCAAATAACAGAGCTTATTGTTTAAATCAAATTTTTGTTAGTAAAAGGATCGTTCTCCAATCGTACCAAATTAATTTGAAAAAACAACTTCAAAACGTCAACTCGACTCCTATGATACAAAAATACTACGTTGTTGTATGTAAAATCAAAGAATACAGAAGTACATAGAAGCTCACAAGTTCAAGTTTCTTATCTAACCAGATTCATTTTAGTTAGCACCAGAACCACCAGTAGGTGATAGTAGGTAATTAACGCGATGGCTGTACAATATTATCAAAGAATATAATAGTGTTTTACCTACTTGTTGGTAAAATCAAAGAAATCTTCAAACGAGACATACGTCATCACAAACTTGATATACATTAAATCGATAGATAAAAGGAAAGTGTTCGCTCGAATGATACAAAACTACAACGATGTATCTAACTATAAGAGTAAACTCATCGATCGATAAATTCCAACTGTCGGTAACAGCGCAAAAATAATGAAAGCGTTACGCCATCTTTTGCAAAAAATCCAAAACTACGTACCACACGTGAGCATCGTATGACACATACATACAAAGAGATTCGCGACACAACGATAATACCAACGCTACTAAACATTGCAGGAACAGGCGCCTCCCATTCTACCCACCCCCCTCCTAACAACCCTTCACTCTGGTCGTCTGATTCGAAAAATCTTGACGTAAACGAACGATCGAAACAACGCCCCTTGTCCTGATCAAGGACACAAACCCGTCTCGAAACATTCTATTGCTTTCCCGCGCGCCCTCCTTGCACAACATGGTGTAATAATCTATGACGCTAATCAAAGGACACCTATATATTTTGTTTTCTTTCTAGACAAGATTGCATCATTATGACGTGCTGTTATTATTTTTATCTAATTTTTTTTATTATTATTATACTTTATCTATATAATCGACTTACCGTCTCGTTTTCTACTATACACATCGGCTCCACTTCCATGTTCCTCCTCGAACGAATTTCTATATCTTCCTTCCTCACTCGACTCACAACTCTTTTTCTCTTCACTCTTGGATTATTTGTATTAATCCGATATTCCACTTCCTCAATAATATAGGTATCAATCTTGACTTAATCGATCAACTTTGTAGTAAATTTTTTTAATGTTTCTTCCGACATCAACGTGTACCAGCGTGTGTCTGTTTACAAACACTGCAAGGTCACCGCAATCCCCCCAGGCTTCTAACTCTCGATGTTGGCTTGAGAAACATCGTGAATTACGTCACAAAAACCGACTGCCGCGACGTCCGCGCAGAAATTGGCTAATCAGTAAAAAAAGAACTACATTATCCACCGTGTGAGAAACAGATGGTGGCGCTAATAGTGAACAAAACTGAAACTACAATTGTCGCGTATTTTCAAATTATCTATAGAATAAATTATTTTTAGAAAATCTATTTTAATTGACGCTAATGTAGAATGATGAGCTTAAAATATACAAATAAATTATTTAATATTAATCTAGATGTACAATTTTTAGTTATCAAATTTCTTTCAATTTCCTATAGTAAAATTTCTATAATTTAACAAAATTATAAAATTTCATTTCTGGCACAATTTAGTACATACTTCAAAATTTTGAAAATTGATTCAACCAAAAATAGTTTTAATGATTCTAATTATAAATAGATTAATTATAAATGGATTAATTATAAATTGGATTGACTATAATTGTGATAATTATATCAAAAGTAATATCAATTACCCAGATCTGATTACTTGAATGTTGCATGCGTGGAGATCACGAAACTGAACTATATTACTTTATTCAAAATTGCTTTCATAAAAATACGGTATATATCACTTTGCTTTATCGTCTGAAATATTTAAACTGTAACGCAATTTTTTTTTTTTAAATCACCTACCAAAATCACATATTTTTATTGGGGGTCATTGTATAATAAAATTAATTTTATTTATTATATTATATAAAAAAACATATTTTCATATGCATCAAAGTTCAATGTATACAAAATTTACAAATAATAAAACTAACCATAAATCCATAATTATTTCGATTCTTTTCTTACCATTGTTTTCTCTTTTTAGAATTTGTTCTTTAAATGAACCATAAATAAAATGACAAGTCCTATTAAAGCAGATCCAGAATTTAACTGGATTTTTCGAACCTTGTCAAATGCTCTCAATGTGTACCTAACGATGTATGAGCTAATTATTTACGATAATGCAGTAAATATGAATTTAGATAATTTACGTAAGTACTTAATCTAAATGAAATAAAAAAAGAAAGCATTGATTTATTTCAGTTGTTAATTAAAAATAAAATAATATCTTTTTAGATGCTTTATCATATCCCGCTTTATTAGCATTCTTTGATTTTCTTATTTATATGGTGGTACAATAAAGAATTATTTATTGAGAACTCATTTAAAAATGACTTAAAAAATCGAATACGTAATCGTAAATAAACTTATTCCTAATTACATCTACTTGTAATGATTGAAGAATACTCATTCCTAATTTTTAATGGTAATAACGACCATGGTAAGGCGAATGTCCATTCCAGAATCTATTATTTTTTAAATCAATGTCATAATGACGGCTATATAACCCATCGAAGTAATCTTCATATGGATAATAGATTTTTCGATTAAGAAAGTATGGATAATAATTGCTGTGAAATAGAAATACCGAAATAAATTGGAACTAATTGAAATATAGATAAATACACATGTATAATATAATATAATATAATAAAAAATAAAAATGTAACAAAATAAAGTTACCGATAATGTCTTAAAATTCCAATATGGTTTGGATTTTCGTAATAATATTTGGGATGAATATTAAAGCGATAATTTTGATAAAAGTAAGGATTATGTTTATAATCATAATCACGCAAATAGTGACGATTTCTATCGTCATATCTTCCAACATCGTCGTGAAAATATTTTCTTTCGTCGTCATATCGGCGATTATTTTGAAATTCATCGTAACGAGCACGTAAATCATCGTATCTACAAAAATTCAAATGTAGTATAAACTGGTATTAATTTTCAATTAAAATTTTCCTAATAATTGAATAAATAATTTGAATAAAATAATACACATTAATATGAATTTTTTAAATGAGAACTTACCTTTGACCATTATCGTAATTTCCATGTTTAGCTTTATTTTTTTCCTTAAAGGAAGCATTATGTAATCCATCTCTGAAATGATCCTTCAAATTGTTTTCATAATAATCACCGTTTTTATCAAAAGATTTATGTCCCTTTTCGTCATCGCTATCTTCGTAAAAACTCGTTTTGTTACCTGCCTCATCTTTGTGATAACTATTACTAAAACCGGTATTATGAAAACCCTTTTTGTAATAACCAGTACCATGTTTTTGAAATGAATTATCGGATTCTTTCGTTATTTCTACGTGCCCGGAAGAATGTCTATCTTTATCGAACCCTTCGCGTGATTTATCCTGTTCGTTGTAATGAGCAACGTTTTCTTTTTTTTCATGATTCGTTGACAAATCTTTATCGTACAAAGAATTATCCTGATTACTTGATTGTTTTTTATTCAAATGAACCTGCTGCAATTTACCTTTTTCTAAACCAGAAATCGATAATTGATCGCCCACATCATAATAGGAACAAACGCAATGTCGAATGAAAATTAATAACAAAACGTTTCGTACAAATATCATTTTGCAATTAAATTTACTTAATCCTGAAATTAATCTAATCGATTTATTATTAAGACTGACTGTTCTTTAAAAACATACAAGACTTTTATAGTCAAATAAACGGCCTTGGCTAACCGACGAAACGAAATATATCCTGTGAACCGACCAAATGGAATGTTAATACGATCACTGCAACGAAAGTTGCATATTTTTTACTTAATCTAATAAGATAGAAAATGTACAGTAAGGATAAACCTTACGGTCTCAATGAAAAAAACATAGGTGACCCATGACCGAAGTGTTGTCAACGCATTAAAAAGAAAAAACCAAGAAAACAATGAATTAAATTGGCCTTCGTCATTAATTGTTACGAATCAATTAAGTCGAATCGAAGGATGCACGGAAAATTAAAATTCTTGCAACGCAACGACGAGAAACGTCTTAATGATTCGAATTTTTACAAATATTTTACTTTCAATCTATTATATACATTTTATTGTTATATTATTTAAAAATATGATAATCTTAGCAAAAATCGATTAAAAAAGAAAAAAACAAAAACAGAAATGATTAAATACTCGTCGTTTACGGATAAAGGAGGAGGGGGGGTAGACAGTCATATATAAATGTTGTAAAAAATATTCAAAACTTATATTTGAAGTCGTCTTAGTAAAAATTCTCAATGCAGAATTCTTGTACAAGACGCTTAAACGTACTGTAAGTATCATATTGTTAAAATGGGGTTGGTGGGAGAAAGGAAGGGAGGGAGGTAAGGAAAGAGGGAGAGGATGTGTATCACGTTAGATACATTTACTAATTATCATTTTTACGTGTTCCAAAAATACTCTAACTCGTTCGCTCTTTCATACTCATTCTCTCTCTCTCTCTCTCTTTCTCTCTTTTTTGTTTGTTTCTTTCTCTCTTTTCCTCTCCACCTGTAAATACTGAACTCACACATTGGTTCACCGCATACATTGTTTGCTATTTAAAATCTATCATTCGATCTAGCTGCACACGAAGCTGCACCATTTATTTATTCTGGGAAACGGGAAATATTCGAATTCTTGCACTACATTTACTATTTCTTCTTACCACAGGCCAATAACAATGATCACTTGTTAGTTACTCACTCAGATGTTTGAACTCTCGTAAGTCTGTATTCTTTAAATAATTCGGAAGGCAACATGAATTTAGGCAGAGAGTATATATAAAAAATATATTAAATCTAACCGATTCCTTTTTTTTTTTCTTTTCTTGTCATATTTCTTGTTTTTTGTTTGTTTTTTTTTTTCTTCAGAGCACACTGCATTTTCGGATGCGACGATGGTAACAACAACGTGAGATGACAGCAGCTCGTGTGCACAAAAGGAACAACACTCGAAACTTTTCTTTTCGCTTGGTGACTTAGGGTGGCCAAAGGATCAATATTATTCTTACATAAGGTATTGGTTTATTTTCTATAATTACAATACCATATCTCTCCCATGACACATGGCAATTATTATATAAAAACAAAACGGACGAAAAATTAATCTCACGACTTTAATCACACAATGACAATTTATTAATGGATTCATATAAAATGGAGAACTTTTTTAAATCTTTTTCTTATTTAATACCACCGACTATTTTCCTTCAAGGATTCTAATTTGAGAATCATAAGATACACACGATATTTAAAGCGACAAAAATAAAACAATTCTATTTAAAAAAAAAAAGGATAAAATTGTATTCTTAGCCACCCCATTCACGGCGACGACGACTGGACGCTAACTTATTTACACATACTTAATAGATTATAATAAATTCATAATTTATACTTATTCTGTACAGGTAATGTTTGACGCTGTTCTTAACGAATCAATATGTATTTACACACTTATTTCTTTTTTTCTTGGCTTTTCTCGAATGCTTAAAAATTTGTATATGACGCATTGCAATGAGATATCAGCCGTCAAAACTCTCTCTCTCTCTCTCTCTCTCTTTATCTCTCTCATTCTATAATTTTTTGACCATTGACGTAAGTAAAACGTCTCTATTACAATAATAATAATAATAATATAATAATAATGGAAGAAGTTTCGAAGAATCACATTTGACCCATTTTATTAATTGATCTCGACAAATGCCCTTTTGTCTATAAAAGTTCATTCTTCATTTTTGTCCAATGGTATTATTATTTGACCCTATCCATTATATAATCATCGTCTAAAATATACGCTCTTAAAGCGTATTTAATAATGTCTTTTCCTTTACCACTGTGCTTCTTCTTTCGGTCGCAATTTATCTTCCTTTTTAAGGTACAATCGTTGATACTCTTCTTGATAAGTGACATACTGCACACTCGATTTGTTTGGTTTTTGAATGCCACAAGCATTAACCGGCGAATGGCTAGGAGAACAATTCATTTCTTGTAATTCTTGTAATTCCTTTAATGATCTCATAACCATTTGAACATCCTTTTCCTGTTCCGTAGATACCATACTTCCTATAGACTCATCCGTAACATATCCGCCATCTTTTCTTTTATCCGTTATCGTCCTGGCAGAGGTGTCATCGTTGATTATTTGACTCAAGTAGGTTGTAGCGGCAACAGTTTCCTCGATTTGTCTTTGTTCTTGTTCTTCCTTAGAAAGAGACGTTTGCTGTGGTAATGAAACTATTTCCGAGTGTATGGATGGTGGTGGCGGTCCAACTTGTTCCAACAATTTCGGATCTTTTCTTCGTTTTTTCGTGTCTTGCGATTTGTGCTTATTTTCCATACACCTTTCGCGTCTCTTGTTGTCTCTCTTCTCCGTTTTATTCGTAATTTCAACATCTTTATCTTCTAATCTTTTGTCATTTTTAATCTCCGCGTTATCTTGTAATATTCTATGCTTTAAAGAAACAACAGGTTTAGAGTGTGGAGAAGTTTGATTAGCTAATGAATAATTAGAATGTTGTGTTGTTGGATATGAAGTTTCTTGTCTGTGTACATTTACATGTCCACTTTGTGGAACTTCGTTAGCGTTAGATATTATATTGGAAGGTTCTGGATAGGCCGTAATAGAGACTACATCTTTTTTAACTTCGTTCGTCTTTGCGGGTATTTTATGATAATCATTGACGGGTGTAATTGATAGAGAACTATTTGCTAAGTCCATTAAATTAAACTTATCCAAGTGACTTTTGGTTGGCTTTTGTGCCATTAATTGTGCCGTAGGTACAACGGAGATTTTTCCAACGGTAGAATTCGAAACGATATTTGACGCTACATCAAATTGCGCCGCCGCCGCCGCCCCCGTATTATTACCACCATTGTCTTTATTTTTTTCTTTATTTTTCGAACTTATTTGTTTCTTTTCTGCATTGTTATCGTTAGATTTAAGTGTTCCGATGTTTGTAACGTTCAAAGAGTTTTCATTAACAGTTGCAACCTTAGCGGCAACACTTGTAGGAGGAGTTTTCTCCATTTCTTGAATAGCAGAAGTAGAAGTAGTAGTAGAAGTAGAAGTAGAAGCAGAAGCAGAAGTAGCAGCAACGTTATTATTATTATTATTACTGCTTGTTGCCTCGAGCCTTCCAGTAGAAGAATTGCAAATTGTATTTGCAGAAGAAGAAACACTATTAGTACTGACAACATCTTTCAACTTCTTTGCTTTCCTTTTAATTCTAAAATCAGAAATATAAAATAATAACATTATGTTTATGTATATCTTTCGATCCTTGAATATATAACAGCAGTAATAATGTACATACAATAGTTATAAAGTGTATACACAGATTATGCAGCGTTCGATGTGTTATAATAATAGATAAAAATAGAAAGGGGATACAATAAAGATAACAATAATAATAATAATAATAATAACAATATTAATAGTAATAATAATGATAATAATAATAATAATAAAGATAATAATAATAATAATATTAAATAAATAAATTGACAAATTTTTAATGATAAATAGTAAGACAATGAACGTACAAGAATATAAAAGAAAGAAAATTAAACATAAAATAAAAATATGTACAAAAAGAGGAGAGATGAGCGAGAAGTGACAAAAATTAAGGGCCCATTATCATACATCGCACTAAAATTATTTATCTACAAATGCATTAGAAATATTGAGCTTGCGATTGTCGAGCTTTTTTTATTATGCTTTTTCTTTTTTTTTTTTTTTTAAATATTATTATTAGAGCTTCCAATATCGAGTTTAATCCGAGAAGTTGAAATTGTAATTTTTAATCCAACACAAACACCTCCCTAAAACATACAATGACCAGAAAATAGAACTACCATCTAACTACCTGATGATGGATGTACAACTGGCATTGCAGGCTTCGATCTGCTCTGACCGCGTGACTTTTTTTTTTACATAAAATTTATTTTAACTGATCGATAATCGTGACGTTTTAAAGTCAATAATCTTGATTAAATATTACTCATGGGACACATGCGGAAGAAATATTTCTTTCACCTTTGAAAACAAAAATTAGATAAGCTAAACAGAGACAACTCGTGCATTATAAAGCAAAGCGTGAAAAATACAAAATCCTTTCTAATAATATCAAAATTTGTGGAAAAAAGGGCAAAAATATTTGCATGTGTGTATCATATAATAATAATAATAGTACTTACGTTGGTTCGACAGAATTAGAATACTTCAACAAAGTTTGTAAGCGTACATAACCAGATGGCCATAATGGCAAAACTTTTGTATCCATAAAAGTTGCCACAAATGACTCCATACTTTCTTTTCTAGGTCGTAAAATTTTAAAATATTGTCTTCTTGCATTTGCTATTTCATATACTAGTTTCCTATAAAATAAAAATAAAAAAAAAAATAAAAATAAAAGCAGGTCAAAATTTGTTTAATAATTTTTTTTTTTTTTTTTTTTTTTTTTTTTTTTCAAAATGTATGTACATGAATTGAAAATTCAATATATAAATGAAAACAGAAAAAAAAATAGCATACTTAGTTTCATCTGTCCAAGGAAATCGTTTCTTCGGAATTTTAGATTTCTCCGTACTTTTGCACGAGCCTTCATCTTCATCGCTACTTTCAGCGGCAGCGGGTGAACCTTCAAATCCCCTGAAAATTAATTTTATAAATTATAATTAAGGAAAAAGATTAAGAAATAGGATTGTTGTGTGGTATTGCGGTGATGAAGAATAATGGAAACGTATTTGATTGACAAAATGTTGCACAACACGTTATTTGATATAAAAAATGATGCCAGTGAAAAACTAAATATTGATACTGATGATAAAAAGCCCCGCCGCCGACTTTGATCTTCTGCTATCTCAAAACTATTGAAATCGTTTTATACAAAATTTTGCAATGTAGAGAAAATGATATCATCTGATGTCCAATTTGAAAAATAGATTTCATTTGTTAAATTGAAATAGCAGATGTATTTACAAGCATGATAAGATTAAGAGGGGAAAAATATAAAGACAGAAGAGAAATGAAGGGAACGACAAAGAGAAAGAGAAATTGGACAGGCAAGAATAGAGAAAGGGTTTCCTCTTACGAGGGGCACCTTACCAACAGTACCGATATATCTCCCAGTATAATTGAGGACTGAGAAATAGAAAAGTACAATGAGTTCCAATTTAAAATCCTACACAACCTAAAGAATTAACTTCTATTTTGATTTTTTTTTGTTTTTGTTTTGTTCTTATTTTCAACATGTGTTTTCTCTGTGTAGAATTACAAGCTCAAACATATATCTCTATCGAAAGCTCATTGATCAATTATTTCATTTAAAAGAAAGATACTTACTTTTCATCGGCAACCATTTGACTTTCCTGGATAAAGGCATCCATGACCGAAGGCATTGTATTATCAATGATAGCTTTTAACCTGAAACACCAACAAACTTTACCAGCAATTGAAGTTTATAAATTTACAGATGATATTAGTATTATGTAATTGTTTAATTTTTTCTACAATAATTAAAAAAAAATCTTTTACCTTTGCATTGTTTCCTTAACTCTGTATTCAGCATCTTGCAGATAAAGCTTTTTCGCTCTATTAAGAAGAGTTATTTTACTACAAGGTAGAAATCGGGCGAGGTGTTCGTACGTCTGCGGTCTTGCGCTCGCTGAATTCAGTGTCCTCAATTTTTTCTCTAGACTATTTAAAAAAAAAAACATAATAATAACAATAATTACATACATTATCTTCCTTTCTCTCTCTCTCTCTCTCTTTAAATTACAATATCCATGTTAATAAAAAAAAACTCACCTAAACAAAGCAGAGTTGACCGAAGGGTTGAAAAACTTGCTTTTACCCTCTTTGCTGTTTTCCGCGTGTACCTTCAATTTGTTAACGATTTCCTTGATATCTTCAGGAAGGCCGTCCGGTAATGGTGCTTCTTTGTCAATATCATCGCACTCCGAGTCTGTGCCAAGATTACCACGAGATTTTCCAGAATCCGATGTGTCCTGACTCGACTCGTCTTCGACCCTAGCTGCATTAACGACACTTTCTATAGCATCGTCGATATTACTGTCTTTACCAGGAAGTTTCTTTAAATCTATTTTCTTCGCATCACACCCATTACTACTATTGGTGGATGATGGCTTTTTCTCAAATTTTTTAATATCAAATTTTTTCTCCGTCGTAGCTTTAGTCTTTTGTAATTCTTTATCAGGCTTTTTCTTTTCCTCTTGATCTTCTGACACTTCTTTAAAAAAATAAAAAAAATAAAAAAAAAAATACAAAGAAAATAAGAAACAGGGATCTAATTGTAAATTCTTAAAGCATTTATTTAAAAAAAAAAAACAAAAAACAAAAAAAAAACAAAAAAAAAAACAATAGAAAAAACCGTGAAATATTTAAATAATAAATTTCTATGAATATACCTGTACCACCCTCGGCATCCGTCGTTTCGCCCTTTTCTTTCCGCCTTTCGGCTTCCTGTTGAGAATTCGAACGTTCTTGGGTTTGATGATTCTGTGGCTTCTTTTTCTTCTTCTTGATTACATTTTCATGGTTGGATTTCTTATCTCCATTTTCATCGACTTTCTGCTTCTTCATGGATGAAATAAATCGTAATAAAGGAAAAGATTTAATTTACTATGAAATAAAGAGGGGAGAAAATTATTTAATTTACTTTTCTCGGTTGATCTGACATGTCGTCTACTTCATCATCTTCCGACGAACTAAGATTTCTTTTATCCGCCCTCTTTGGACTATCGACATCTTCAGTTTCTTCTTCGCTGCTATCGCTACTTTCATCTTCATCATTGTTACTTTTATTATTGTTGTTATTGTGAACTAAGGAATGCCTTTCAGCAGCTTTAAATTCTAGGGCACCACAATTTATGTAGAAACCCCCATGAGCTGTGGTCATCTCTTCTGGTACAATTTCATCGTACTGGAAAAATAATCGATAGATAAATAAACCATTAAAAAAAAAAAAAAGG